CATATAAAATACACAAATACATAAACCACAGAAGCAAATAAATGACTCAATGCCTAATTTTAAAAGTTCCTCTCTTGATAGTTGACAAAGTTACAAGTTCTTCTAGGGCATGATGATTAAACCTCAGGTGGTTCTTTTTCTTTACCTTTAAGATGATCCCCATTCCTTACTTGTTATTTTGAGTGATTCTTTATTCTCACAATTTCTTTTTCAGTGAACTTCCTAGATTTCTACCAAGACAGCAAGTTGTGGGAATGTATCTGTCAGCTCTTAAGAGCTTCTGAAGGAACCAAGGGTCCTTCAGACATTCCTGAATTGTAATTCCCACCATCCTCAGCCAATTCAACTTCAGTACAAATTGCTGGAAATAGCAGTTTAGCAACATCTGGAAGATCCTCTTCCAGCTAGGATTGACCAGGTGGGTCTGTGGACAGCAACATTTTTTTCTAATCAAAAAAGATTGTACTGAACAAGGGGAAGCAAACAGTATGGAGCTAAGAATGAAAAGTTTAAAGCAGGTGGCCAGGGAGAGATGATTTGAAGCTCAGTCTAACTAGAGATCTGAGCAGATTGCAGAAGGCTTTAAAAATTAGGTTAGCTCATGTGGAGCTTGAACTACAGTTTTTTTTTGTCCCCAACATTAGTAGTAATATCTTACTTTTTGTTACTGAGAAATGGACAATCTGAAAAATCTGTTTTGCCACCTCTCCAAAGTGCAGATAGCAAACTATTAAAAACAAATCCTGAAACCAGGAAGGAAATTTGAAAGTCTGTTTTTTCCCCTTGAGTTAGCCTATCATTTTGTTTTATTTATTATCTATATCCTACATTTATTTTTTTATACACAACTCAAGGTGGCAAACATATCTAATACTCCTTTCTCTTATTTTCCCTATGATGACTACCCTGTGAGATGGGTTGAGAGAGAGTGACTGGCCCAAGTTCATCCAGCTAGCTTTCATGGCTAAGGTGGGACTAGAACTCACAGTCTCCTGGTTTCTAGCTTGGTGCTTTAACCACTAGCCCAAATTGTCTCTTTTAGCTAATCTTCTAAGCTGATTTGCTGAATCTTTACACACTTCAGTAATATGGTGAACTTCTACTGGCAAGAGGACGCTTTGGGAACCTCTCTCCACAGGGCGATTGACACTATTTCGTTGACTATGTTATGTCTCATTAGCCCAAATCTCTAACAATTATAATCATGACTGGATGGGAGGTGACTTCTATGCCACACTCTGACATCTGACCTGATGCTCACTCAGAAATATTGTGGAGAGAAATGGAGGAAGGTTGCAGCAAAAAGAAAATTGCAAGAAAGAGAGAAGGGGTTATATGGTGTGTATTTGAAAATGCTACAAGCCTTCTTAGAAAATAAAAACAATGAATGATGGCTGCTCAGAAGGATACTTACCTAAACAGATAATAGGCAAAGGTAAGTTTGATGGGCAAAAGCACTTGGGGTGGTTCTTAGAACTCTGACAGGGAACAACTTTTTCAGTTGTCTTTTGATAAATGGTGATTGTGTGATCAATAATACTATGACTGCTGTTTTCTTAACATGTAAAACTACTATGAGCAAGGAAGAACCAGCTTAAATATTACCTCTCCTACCTGAACAAGCTTTTTATAATTTGGAGGGCTGTTTATATATGTGGACTGTGTATGCTAGTTTATATGATTAATTTCCCCCTTTTTCCAACTGTGAATTAACTTAAATGTCTGTAGTTCATGACTAGAATGCACATTGCAAGAATAATTTTGCTAAGTAGGACAAAGATGAATGCTTTTGTGGGGGTCTCCTACCTCTTTCTTTTTCTCATCCATACTGTAAAAATAAAAAGTGTCTTAAGTCATTTGGTGGGAACTTCCTAAATGTGCTCTAAGGATGCTGAATGAATCCACCTGTCTCCAAAGTGCTAAACCTCAGTAGCCACCCTTTTTTTTCCATCTTAAAAATGAAGAGAATGTGCTAATGAGTTTAGATGGAGCATGAAAGGTGCAGGAAAGAAGTCAGTGACAGAAGTTCTCAAATTTAAAGCTTTCACCTGCACACCAATTCTTATAAAGCAAATACATTTTGTAGACCTTCCACAGTCAAATTGTGGAAGAGTTCATTTATTTTTTTCTTTAATGTGGATAGTAGATCTGAAAAGTAGTATAGTATTTATTCTGAAAAGAGAGGTCTTTGCTGAACTTTTATGAAATACAGTACAGGAGTCATTTATATTAACACTTGATCAATCTCCTGTTATAGTACATACATAGAAAGTTGTTAAGAACAGAATGAAATAAATCTTGAAAAAGAAATTATGCAAAATATATGAAAGAATAATTCTTAAATTATTACTATTACAAAAAAGAGCAAAAATATGTTCTTCAGATCCAGCTGATGTTTGTAAACAATAATTTGCCATTTAGTAGAGAGAAATATTTTCTGTCAAGCAAGGACAAAATCATGTTTAAAGCAATGATAGTTATGCTTTAGCATATTTTTTCCAGACAAAAAATCAATTGTAATTATTTCACTTCACTTCAAAGGAAAACATATTTTAATTTGTAGGAACATCATATGTACATTCAAAATTATTTATATTAAAGCCAAATACAATTTACTTCAAAAGGTTCCAGTACTGTGCACCCCATCCTTTCTGATAGATTTGAAGTAGATCCCCAGAAAAAAAATATAATTTTTGCTTAGTAAAGATAATAATGCAATACAGCATTTTAAACTCTTGAGCAAATCATTCTAAACTTTTTTTAAAAGGGATCAGTGGTTACAGAGAATCATAAGTGTAAGACAGTAAGAAAAGCAGGGGAATCTCAATCTTTTAAGCTGTGACAGCCTTCAGAGCATTTTACCACATGTATTACCATCTGGCCCTACTGGGCTTACCTGAACAGGCAGAGGGGATCATCCTAATTCATGTGACAAAAAAGGTGTAAATGCCAATTATCTTCCCGTATAGACTACAACATGAGTTCTTTTTACCATAATTCCAATCTGACATCCAGCTATGGACAAATGTCCATGCTTGACTAATAAACTCCAGGAACCTATCTCAGGAATCTTTTCCTTCTGGGCTTTGGCATAAATTTAGTTGAAATAGGTTGCCCTCATATTTTCAAGAAATAAGCAGACTGCTCTTTCTTGTTGTTCCGACTTTTATATAACAAGGTTATAGATAACAGTCTGGAATACCTTGTACAGTATGACCCTCCTGTTGCAACTCTCATGATCTCTGACCACTGATCATGCTAGCGTGGCTGATAGGAAGAATATGAAATATACAACTAACCAATAGATCAAAATATTTAAAACAAAACAGACTAAAGGACAAAAGAGGGCTCATAATCACTAAGGACTGGGAGAACAACCGGATCTTCAATAGTTTCCTAAATGATGTAAGGATGGGAGCCACACAAATTTCTAGGCAGAGATCATTTCAGAAAGCAATAATTAGAACAAAGTAGGTGCACTTCCTGGGTCCCATATGATTACATTCTTTAGTGAATGGGATCTGGAGAAGGCCCACTCTGTTTCTAAGGTAATTGGCAGCAGATTATAAACCTCTTAAGACTGTCTTTGCATGGTGTAGGAATAAGAGTGGAATTGTTACAGCCAAGAGCGACTATCAGAGATACGAGCAAAGACAAAACAGAAGGAAGAAGGTACCTGGATAGGTGTATGCAAGTGGGTAAAGCCCACAAATTATTTTTGTTTTAATGATTTTTTAAAAATAAGTTCCAATGGCCTAGTTCACTGTCATTGTAACTATCAGTAAAAACTGTAACTCCCAGTAAAAACAACAACAACAACAACATAATAAATGTGATGTATGATCCTAGCCAGTCACTATAACCCAAAGTAAAATGGACATATGTACCACCACTTAGTGGTAACATCAATGTTCAGAAACCAGCAGAAGAACATTTGATCTGCCTGAAAAGAAAACTATCTAATTAAATAGCTGTTTTTCAACAAAAAGTGTGAAATATATGAATCAAAACTCATCAAGAAATGTTATTTTATCACTGTAGTTCATCTCAAGACATAGGTATCTTCTCAGGCTGTAAAGTGCAAAAGTACACAGCAAAACTGGAACATTTGCCCTTAGCAATTAGTGTTTGTCTTTCAAACACTGTAATTTTCTAGTCACACATATTGTGCTTTTTACATATAGCTAAGCTGTTTACAATTCCTCCCCATTTCCCATAAACATAGCTATACATATCAGTCAGTTGCCCCAAAGGTGCTTTTTTCAAAAGGCCATTTGACTTCCTTGCTTTTGCTTGAAGATGTTTTGCTTCTCATCTAAGAAGCTTCTTCAGTTTTGCGAAACTTCTTCAAGCGAAAACAAAGTCCAGTTGCCTTTTGAAAAAGCACCTTTGGGACAGCCATGATCTGGATGACTGAGAATCTCCATAGACATACCAGTCAGTTGAGAACAAGGTCATGTCTCTGATGAAGTCAAAGGCATAAATCTGATCTGTTTTATGGATCCAAGAATCTCTTCTTTAGGTACTCCTATTTGGGGGGGGGATCTTTTCTCTTTCACATCTCAGCAGCTATTTTGTACTTTTGGTTGAGAAGGGGAATCGTTATTTGCTTCTCAACAGCTGCTTCTGTGGCTGATATGAAAGAATGAGGCTCAATTTGGAGCAAATAAAAACATTGATTTCTTATTTGCTGTCTGTTTGGGAGGAGTTATCTTTTAGTAACCATGGGTATCCCATCAGACTGGGATTGGAACATTGGCACTTCATTTCACTGCACAGGCAAAGGGGCATCAACTCCAGGGATTTTGCTGAAAGCTGCAGTACAAAGTGAGACCAAGTGAGACCAAGAGAGGAAAGAAAGAAAGGACAGGACAGAAAAAGCTACAGGAGCACACGTCAGATCAAGCAAGACCAAGGAAAGCAGGAACCTATTTCTGATGCCTTAGAAGGGAATTCACATCTTGTGTCAAGAGATGCTCCAAATGTTCTGTAATAGCAGCATGGGGACCAGTTGCAGTGCTGCCTGCAACATGGGTTTGACCAACAACAGCAGTCTAGCTGTGTGTCAAGAACAGGATAATGAAATCTGGGCCCTTCCACCCTGCAACAAGTATCTCTGCCCACTGCTGCCCATATGCATTCTCATCCCAGTGACAGCTGTTTGCTTGGTCTTGCTGGTGCTGGGTATAGGGGGCAATGTCTTGACTGTGATTGTGACAAGCTGCTCCCAAGAGCTACACAACACTACCAGTCTATATCTGGGCAGTTTGGCTGTCTCTGACCTGTTGATGCTCCTCCTGGGTCTACCCTTGGATCTGTACCGTTTGTGGCGCTCCCAGCCATGGGTGCTGGGAACTGTGCTGTGTCGTGTGTGGCACTGGTCAACTGAGGCGTGTGCCTACTGTTCCATCCTGCATCTGACAGCCCTGACAGCTGAGCGCTATCTGGCTATTTGCTTCCCACTGCGGGCTAAAGTCCTGGTGACCCAACAGCGGGTAAAAGCCCTACTGATAGTGCTCTGGGCTGTGGCACTACTCTCTGCTGTACCTTACCTGTTCCTTGTGGGAGTCCAACAGGCTGGTAACTTTTCCAATGATGATGATTTCAGCCGTGAATGTGGCCCTACTTTGCATGCCCAACAGACAGGGCTGTTGGAGACTATGCTCTGGATCACCACTAGCTACTTCATCCTTCCCTTCTTCTGTCTTTACATTCTCCATGGCTTGATTGCTAGAGAGCTTCTTCGTGTTGGCAAAGCACATCTTGGTTTGGCTTCATACAGGAACCATCAGCAAACAGTGCGCATGTTGGGTAAGTAAGTAAAGGATATCTTAAAATGGGGGAGGAAACATTATCTTAGTGCTCCAATGTCTTGTCCATTCTTTATCTTTATCAAAGAAACTCCCTCAGCCCCATTATTCAGAATTAGGAAACCTTTGGATTCACAACAAATTTCTATTGTTAGGGACTCTGTAACAGGTTGACAATTTAAAACCCTCCAAAATCTACTATATCACTTATCAGTTCCATCCAGAACTGATGGAAACCCCAAATTCCTGGTGTATAATAAACAACTATGAAGATGCAATGTGGAGTCCAAAAACACTGAATGAAGATGATCTAGTTCCAAGTATTATCCAGGGTTATCCTACAGAATGTCTAGCTAATCCTTCTGGCATCTAATGAATGTAAACAAGTAATCAGGGTTGCGTAGCCTGGAGAACTGCATGGGACTCCAGCCTCAGAGATTTTTTTTGTAAATAAGGATCAACCCCTATCCTGAAGAAAATTTTGTTGCTCATACCCTCAAATGCAGACTTCTGTGGGGATGTAATACTTCCTCAGAATCTCAGAACACATAAAGCTTAGGGCTCATGGGAATATTTCAGTTTTCAAAGTATGGGAGGTCCCAGAGCCAATTCTGTTGAATGAGAGAGAACTCATACCTTTGTCATTATCTATAAATATTGAAGTTGAGCATGGGGACCAAGCAAATATCCAGGTGATACTTCTAGTCTCATAAACTACAGCATGTGGCCAAAATCATTCCCATTGTTCTTCAATACCATTCTTCTCTAGACAGCTCTAGATTCAGTCCCCCCCTCAGTCAGTCTCTGAGTTCCATACGCTTCATGGTTATATTTCCATGTAATAGATTTTCCTGCTCCTTCTCTGTAGCCCTATCTGGAAATGTGATTTATGTCCAATTGTTTATATATCCAGTAGTCAGTACAAAGTAGCCAGCAACTTTAAGTCCTTTAGTTTATTTATTTATTCATTTGATTTATATGACTGTCCATCTCACTCAAATGACTCTGAAAGCATACAAGAATTAATCTCCCCACCCCCCAGACACATCATATAATCCCTGGCATCTTAAGATAAACAATGACCCCACTCATGCAGAAAAAGCACATCAAGAGTAGAACTGATCTAATCTTCTGATTCAAATACTTGGGGAAACAGCCATGTTTTCAATGCCCTACAAAAGGCTAACAGGGTTGGGCTATCCAAATTTTCCATGGGATTCTGTTCCATAGGGCAGACATTGCCACTGATAGCATATTCTCTCTGCTAGATCTGGTGGCTGAGCAGAAATCACGGGGAAAAGGTGGTCCCACAAGTTGTCTGGCCCTATGCTGTGGAAGGTTGTATAGGAAATTACTAGTATCTCTCTCTCTCTCTCTCTCTCTCTCTCTCTCTCTCTCTCTCTCTCTCTCTCTCTCTCACACACACACACACACACACACACACACACACACATCTTAACTGCCATTCTTCATCTAGATAGTAAAGACTGTGGTATATTATCCCAAATTGGTTTCCTAGACTTAGCCTGGTGAGAGGTATAGAGTCTTTTATTGTATATATTGGAAGACCTCTAGGAATCAATGGCATGTTTGACTGTTTGTTGTTATCACCCGAGATCAGGAAGGGCAATATTAGAAAGAACATGGAGCCATGAGCAGGGTGTGGATTTAAGGCTTCCAGATTTTATTCTCACCGTGGGTATAATGATATGCTCATATATTCTCATCACGTGGGTGTAATGAGACATGCCAAAATCTGCATGTGGCACATGCATTTTCTAAATGTTCTTCAAGACGACCCCTATGTACAGTACATGACAGTGATCCAAATAGTGATCCTAAAGCAAGCGTTCTTGGTCCAATAATGGGCGCAATTCATAACTGCACCAGGTCAACAGCCAATCTTATTTCCTTCTTTTCTTTCTTCGTACTTGCAGTTATCCTGGTTCTGGCATTCCTCATTTGCTGGCTGCCCTTTCATGTTGGCCGGATCATATATATCAACCCAAACAACACCAGGATGATGATCTTCTCTCAGTATTTTAATGTTTTTGCGTTGCAGCTTTTCTACTTGAGTGCTACAATCAACCCAATCCTTTACAATCTTGTCTCAAAGAAATACAGGGCAGCATTGTACAAGTTGCTGGTAACCAAAAAGCGACCAGAACGGGCTTCAACTATTACTAGGGAGACAGCTGGCTACCTAGAGATTACTGGATAATTTAAAAATGAAATGATTCCCAAGACCCTTTCTCCCATTGCTTTCACTGATTGCTTTTTGGCAAATGTGTGAAATGAAGGGCAGATCATAGTTAATGCTTCCAGGCATAGCTCTTTGAATTGTAAGACTGGGCTGGTGCTGGTAAAACCAAAACTATCACTAGGGCTATTTGGACAAGCAGAGAAAGATGCTCTCTCCTTCCTGTGTATAGTATAATTACCACCTGGTCTTTCCAGCAAACTAATGCTTGTAAACCAGTAATAGAAGCCACAAACTGATTTTGATTGGCAGGCAAGGACTTTCCTACAGTTTGCCAGCTCTGCAAAAATGGGTTAGGGTTAGGGTTAGGCAGTTCGAGTTTGGTCACTGGTGATGAAGGCAGGCTTGACCGTTTAAAAGCTCTGTCAGCTTAGCAACACTATGGGATAGCCCATCATTTGACATTTTAGATACAAAAGATCCAATTTTCAATTCTCTAACACAGTTCTAGCAAATTTTAAAAGATTTACCTGCAGCCTCTTGAGGGTTGCTGTACTGCAGCTGGGACTAGAGACCTATGAGCTGGACAAAAAGCCTGATTATAAGAATAGCAGCCTATATTTTTGATTAGCTTATAGTATGCTTATACATTTCCTATTAGATTAGAAAGTAATGCTTTTGGTCAGCATCTTTGTAGCTGGGTTTTCAATTTGCCACAGTTCAAAAGACAAGATCTAGTTAACTGGATCAGATAGAATAACAAAAACAATAAAACAAATGTGGAATGGAAGGTAAGGATTATGATTAAATCAGACTATATGTTCATTTATTTTAGCTCTCCATGTGCTTCCCTCACATTGATACCAATCAGCTGATACAATTTTAATTATAATTCTGTCTGACTAGGGGAACTATGAGAAAACCTGGAGGTTTTATGATAATAATTATGAGATGTTTGATTCTCATCTAGACAAAAATAGTAAAACTATATCCTACCCTGACGCAATTAAGGTCACAGTTGTAGGGCCCTGACACAAGAATGTTAAAACAAGTTGAGTTCACCCAACTCTACAAAAATAAATTACATCTATATTTTCCTTTTAACAAAAAGTGAGTACGGTATTTCATAAATTATAGGGTACAAGAAGTTTCTGTTCCCTTTAGCAGAGGTAGCAGTGTGTCTCTCCAGTGGAAGGCTGATGGCTTCAAGAATACAATACATCAGAGGTCCCCAACCTTTTGGGCACCAGGGACTAGTTCCATGGAGAGAGGTTTTTCCACAGACCGGAGAGGGCGTGGTTTTGTGTGCTGCCTGCAACCCGCGGATGGGGCTTTCCTTGTTTGTACGGACTGGTTGCTGGCATGCTGCAGCCCGGTACTGGTCCACGGGTTGGGGACCCCTGCAATATACATGTTTAAGGGCTACATTGTGAAGTTCACAGAAGATAAGAAGCTGAAATATGACAGGTAGATCTTGAAGAAAAGGTGAATGAAGTCTGGTTCTATTTCTTTTGGTACTTTCTTTGCCTGGGATCCCATTCTCTCTAAGGATCTGTTTATTTCTCTTTATCTTCCTCCTACAGCAGCAGCCAGGGAAGAGTCTGATGGACCTTAGCAAAGTTTTTAGCTGCTTATTTCAAAGGGCTTCTTTGGATTAGGACAAAGCTTGTTTCTTGCTGGTTGCCAACTTTTCCAGATAAGGAAGAAATATATATATCCCTAATAGCTTTAAAAATGTGTAATGCATATTTGTGTAATGTATATAAATTCCTCAAACCCTGGGATAAGTATAAAACAGCTGTTTATTGTTAACAGCAGTAAAAACAATAAAAGCAACTATTTATAAAACAAATAAAATCGACTGTCTTAGCTTTCGCTGATCCACTATCAGCGTCATCAGAGTAAGTATTAGGGGTGGGGAGTTTGCTTATAAACCTAATTGGCTTCGCCCTCTACCCATTGATTGTGTAATGGGCCCGCCTGTTTTAACTAACTGTAGTTGTTCCTTGGGATACACAGCCTAGAATGGGCACGGGAGGGGGAGGATTGGAGGATGGATCGGCAGCAATATCACATGGCTAGGTGCAGGAAAGGTGGGCGGGGAAGATAGAAAAAGGAGGAGAGGGACTCCCAGAACTGACACACATGCCAGGGGATGAGACACAGCGAGGGGAGGTAGGACTGACCGTAGTGGGTAAAACAGAATGGGCAAGGAAAAGACCAACGGGAAGAAAGAGGGCGATGGGACCAAAATGTGGACAAGGAGATGCGGGACAACTAGAACAACTATGGTTAGTTAGAACAGGCGGGCCCATTACACGATCAATGGGTAGAAGGTGGAGCCAATTAGGTTTATAAGCAAACTCCCCACCCCTAATGCTTACTCTGATGATGCTGACAGTGGATCAGCGAAAGCTAACACAGTCGATTTTGTTTGTTTTATAAATAGTTGCTTTTATTGTTTTTACTGCTGTCAACAATAAATAGCTGTTTTATGCTTATCCCAGAGTTCGAGGATTTTATACCGTTACACACACACACACACACACACACACACACACACAATTGTTTTCATCTCAGAGAATAAGAAATAAAAGATAAAACAGGATGACCTCATCTAAAACCTGTCTAGAAATCAGATGACCATTACAAGACAGTAAACTCATGGCACCCTTTGGATTTTTGCAACCCAGCTATACAGGTTGTCATCGAACTATGACTGAAATTGTGACCAGAGTTGTAAGTTGAGATGCCCACATTAGCAGACTTGATTTTATGACCATTTTAACAGCAATCATTGTGAATCATGCAGTTGTAAGTATGAACCCATTCTCCTGAATGAGCATTTTTGCCAGAAACCAGCAAAAAAATTTGCAAATCACAGTCAGGTGACTGCAGGGTGCTGCCGTAAGTCATAAATGTGAGCCAGTTGAAATACAGTCATGTGACTATGGGGAAGGTGGCATAATAATTTACAACTACTCTTCTGAGGATCTTGTAAAATTGAACAGTCATTAAACTTCTGGTTGCAAGTTGGGGATTGCCTGTAGTAGCTCTAAATCAAGGGGGAAAAGGTTGAACATGCCAAATTGAAGGTTTTTTAAAAATTCCCTTTGTTGAGAGTTTAATTGCAGGTGGAAATTCATGCATGTCATACTACAAAATGTGCTGGCAATTCTTGGTTTAAATGGCATTGTTAAAAGTTTTTCATCAATTCTGATCTCAAAATAATAAATGTTTGAGAGTAAACATAAAACAATTTGGTAAGAGTACATCACACATTGAAAAAAGAACAAACATGTCATGATCCTTTCATGTGAGGTATCATATCTCTAAATAAAACTGTCTACTGCCATTATTAAATAAAAACCATAATCTAATTACTGCTTTATTTTCCAAAAGGGTCACTGCTATTTTTAACCATTACATAAAGATAAATAAAAGCTAAAAGCTATTTCTTGTTTCAGCTAAGCAAATGTCTTAAACGTGATGACTTAAAGTAGGCTCTCCCCTGCTGCAAAGAAGCATTCAGAACATAGGTTATATTTGTATATTATTCCTGAATTTGTAATCAGATTTTAAACTAATTTTATTAAAGTCTTAAAGTGGAATATATGAAATAGCAGTATAAAATGTGCCTTTTTGTCTCAACATGCTATAGGCAGCAAATATTTGTGTATTTTCCTTTATATGCTCATTGTTTCAGATCTATACCTGTTCTTTGCATAAATGTAAGCTTGATCTACAGAAAATAAACAAAGTATTCAAAACCCAATAAAAAATCTAAACATCAGGATGTTTTTTAAATTGCTATTGATTATTTCTCTTTGTGGGATCTTGCTAATTTCTATACCTCAACCTGTCACAGCAAATGAATTTGGAATGGGACACACTATTTGCCCTAAGGAAGGTGTGCTTTATGTTTTCTTTAAATAGACTTATCTAGACAGCTAACAGCCGGTGTTATCTGGCTGCTTTGCTAAAAAAAAATATCAAATCTATTGCTTCTGTGTACATTTCAACAAGTTGCTTAATACAACAAATATTTCACTTTGTATTTCAAGGCTTCTCAGTTTCCTGCCAGCTGCTCTGCTATTGTAATTGGTCAAAATACTTGAAGAGATTAAAACTCACAAGCTATTTGTCATTTCCTTGACCAATTTGCTCATTACTCCTGTCCAAAATGTACTAATTCTTTATTTAAGTTGTATTATTTCCATGGTCATAGCTAAAAGAAAAATCTCCAGAAAGAAAAAAAAAACGTGGTATAGATATTTTAAAGCTACTGTAAATAAAATGTCACATCTTCTACAGTGAAAAGAACCCTATTGTCTCCGTTCCGACTTTCTATCAAATTATGGAGTCCTGACTGTTGGTGTGGAGGGCTCCTTAACCAAAATGATTGGCCAAATTCCCTGACTTTGCTGCTCTTCTTCCCTCTGAATGTCATTAGTTGATGGGAAACCAACTGTCCAACTTCAGCTTCAGTTTTACTGTACCATCAGAATGTCCCTAATGGTAATTTCCATATAGCTGCTGAAACCTTTCCTTATTACATGAACAACAAGAATATTTTATTAGAGGAAGGACAATTGGATTTTTATTAATTCATAATTTGAGAGTGGGACTTGTGATTGACTCAAAGATCACTCAAATATTAGGGGCAGCCAAAACAAACATGAATTAAATGATGTTCTCTGCAAGAACTAGAAGCATAAACATCAATATTTATAAATGTAATACATTCATTTTTGTACCTTTGAGTCGATCCTAACTCCTGGCGACTACCTGAACAAGTCCCTGCACCTTTCTTGACAACATTTTGGAAGGACTTTGTTATTGCTTCTTCTGAGAGGGGGATAACCAAATCACTCACTTGTGTGCACTGCTGGTGTGAAATCGGTGTGTGTGTGTGTATGTGTTTGTGTGATTGGGTCAATCAGAGAATGGCCATATGTTTCAGTTCTCCCCATGAAAGAGCATGCTCTCATTTTTGTTTAACAAAGAGTAGAGGAGAAAAA